ACCACATTGATGGGAACAAAGAAATGATTGCCATTGGGATGATGAACATTGCTGGTTCTTGCACTTCTTGCTACCTCACCACAGGTTAATCACTAATCGTACACATTTAGGGTTTATTCTTAATTGGATTCATTTCATGTTGCTAATTAAGCGAAATTTTTTCATCAATATTCAAGGCCATTTTCCAGATCAGCAGTTGACTACAATGCAGGATGCAAGATGGCAATGTCAAACGTTGTCATGGCAATTGCGGTTATGTTCACATTGTTGTTCCTCACTCCTCTGTTCCATTACACTCCCCTGGTTGTTCTGTCTGCTATTATAATAGCTGCCATGCTTGGCCTCATAGACTATGAAGCCGCAATTCTCCTCTCGAAGGTTGACACGTTTGACTTTGTTCTGCATGAGTGCCTGTATCGGTGTCGTTTTTGGCAGCGTTGAAATCGGCCTAGTCTTAGTGGTACGTACGACTATATGTCACACCAGTAAAAAATTATTGTGTGTGACAATAACACCATATCAACAATCTAACATCACTTCTTAGAACTAATATTTCTTTTTTCTTGTGTGTAGGTTGCAATATCTGTTATCAGGGTACTTTTGTTTGTGGCAAGGCCAAGGACTTTTGTTCAAGGAAACCTTCCAATTCCATATATGGTTTACAGAAATGTTGAGCAGTATCCCAATGCAAGCAATGTTCCTGGAATTCTCATACTTGAGATTGATGCTCCTATTTACTTTACAAATAACAACTACTTAAGAGAAAGGTACTAATTAATTAAACCTGAACACACTCTTGCATGTTATAATCAAATTTAAAAATAATAATTTGAAAGTTGATCCAAAGTCCTACCTGTTTTCAGGATTACAAGGTGGATAAATGATGAGGAAGATGGGACCAAATCTGCAGGGGAAAGTAGCTTGCAATATGTGATATTGGATATGACTGGTAATTAAGGGAAACAAATAGTGCACATATATATATATATATATATATATATATATATATATATATATATATATATATATATATAATTATTGTGACATTTTTTACCCTGAAATTAATTTGTTTTCTGGTTTAATTTGCAGCTGTTGGTAACATAGACACAAGTGGGATAAGCATGTTTGAAGTGGTCAAAAAGCTTGTTGACAGAAGGGGGCTCCAGGTTCAAAAATCTGCAACAGTCTCCTTCAATTTATCAAATATTTCCTTCCAAATTTTTATTTCATCTGTTTATATAACTCTGTAATTTTGTTCCCATCTGTGTTTAGCTTGTACTGGCGAACCCGGGAAGCGAGGTGATGAAGAAGATGAACAAGTCAGAGTTGATTGAGAATACATGTCAAGAATGGATTTATCTCACAGTTGCAGAGGCTGTTGCGGCATGCAACCTCATGCTTCACTCCACCAAGCCCAACCCCGGCAAAGATCAAGAACCAGCTGCATGGAACAACGTTGATGGCTTTGGCTGTGAATTTATGTATCAGAAAGCAATATCCAAATAAATATGAAGACTCATTTGAATTAAGGAGAAATGAATTTCAGGAAACGACGTTTGATGGCTTTGGCGGCTATACTATTAATTTCAGGAAAAAAAATTTAAAAAAAATAAAGGAGTATAGCCGTTCAGCTATACTCTTTTAATATATTATATTCAAACTCTATAGCCGACCGGCTATACTATTTACTTAGAAAAAAATTTAAAAACGTCGTATAGCCATTCGGCTATACTATTAATTTCAAAAACACCGAGTATAGCCGGTTGGCTGTACTCTGCAAAAATGTTATATTCAAACAGTATAGCCGAGCGGCTATACTATTTATTTAAAAAAGAGAAAAAATAGTACAGCCGTTCGGCGATACTATCAATTAAAAACGGAGTATAGCCGTTCGGCTATACGATTAATTTAGGAAAAAAATTTAAAAAGGGGTATAGGCTATACTCTTTTTATATATTTTATTTCAAGAGTACAGCCGCCCGGCTATACACTGTCTTTTTTCAAATTTTTAGTCCAATTAATAGTATAGCAAAAATGAAGAAGACGATACATTCAACAGCAAAAGAGTAATACACGAGTCTCAAAAACATCTTGGACAAAAAAACAAAAGAATATAATAGCAGATGAACGGTGGCAAATTAGCTTTGATTAAAAGCCTACATGATAATGTATGATGGTTGTATCGTCTATTGATCGAGTGTGTAGAGTAGAAATCAAAGCATAAAAAGTGTAACTATCCTATCCTTCCCAACTTGAATCAATTAAGAAAATAATAAAAAGTGGGGTTTGTAATTGATGTGCATATATATTTTGCATATTCAAGATGCACATATATTCACAGTTCAAAATGTTGAGAGAAGTTCAGGAAATCAACAACTTAAATGGAGCCTAGTAACAGTTGCAACATGCAAAGACAGAAAACTTAAAAAGGAAATCAACAACTTCCTTGCTTGCTTCAGCAAACAGAACTTTGTGGCTTTTTGTGTCAATCAGAAGCTTCAAACTCACGCTAGCGCTGCTGGTGGTAGCCATTGAGGGGATATTAAGGACAGACCTTCCCAAAAAAAGTATCCTGAATTCAAAATTATTCAAAAATGGCAATGGTGAACGGATCTAGAAGGTGGAGGGTCACCTTGGACTCTGCATCATTAGTCGACCACAATGCAACTCTACACATACAAATCTGTCATTACCTATACATAGGGAATATAATCTACGGATGAGTGAATAAATATATATTTATTTCCACCAAAAAACTGTAATCTTAAATAGGTTCGAAAAATCGGCCTAGGCGCTAGGCGGGAGGACACCGCCGCAATTTGACCCTAATCATTAGGGGTAGGCGCTAGGGAGTTAGGCGGCACCTGGGCGCCCGCCTAGGCGGCTCTAGGCGGGTCTGGGCCCTAGGCGGCTCACGACGTTTGATGGCTTTGGCGGCTATACTATTAATTTCAGGGAAAAAATTTTAAAAAAACATAAAGGAGTATAGCCGTACAGCGATACTCTTTTAATATATTATATTTAAACACTATAGCCGATCGGCTCTACGATTTACTTCAAAAAAAAAAACAGCGTATAGCCACTCGGCTATACTATTAATTTCAAAAACACCAAGTATAGCCGGTTAGCCGTACTCTTTTAATATATTATATTTAAACCATATAGCCGCGTGGCAATACTATTTATTTAAAAAAATGGAAAAATAGTAGAGCCGATCGGCTATACTATTTACTTCAAAAAAAAAAACAGCGTATAGCCACTCGGCTATACTATTAATTTCAGGGAAAAAATTTTAAAAAAACATAAAGGAGTATAGCCGTACAGCGATACTCTTTTAATATATTATATTTAAACACTATAGCCGATCGGCTATACTATTTACTTCAAAAAAAAAACAGTGTATAGCCATTCGGCTATACTATTAATTTCAAAAACACCAAGTATAGCCGGTTAGCCGTACTCTTTTAATATATTATGTTTAAACCATATAGCCGCGTGGCAATACTATTTATTTAAAAAAATGGAAAAATAGTAGAGCCGATCGGCGATACTAATTTTTTAAAAATAAAGAAAAACTGAGTATAGCAGACCGGCTATACTATTAATTAAGGAAAAAAATTAGAAAGGTGGTATAGCCGTATGGCTATACTCTTTTTATATATTTTATTAAAAGAGTACAGCCGCCCGGCTATACGCTGTGTCTTTTTTCATATTTTTAGTCCAATTTATAGTATAGCAAAACATGAAGAAGACGATACATTCAACAGCAAAAGAGTAATACATGAGTCTCAAAAACATCTTGGAGTCACAAGCTCCAAAGTTCTAGCAAAAGTCAGTTCAGCTACCTTAACAGAAGAAACAATCCTTTGAAGGAGCACGGTGAAGTCGATTTCATCAATTTACAACTGACTGATTACCACAAAAAACCTCCAAAATAACAGTGTAAGACACTCTTTATGAATCCCTAGTCCGATTTCAGATGCACAACAGTCAAACAAGCTCTAAAATTCCATTTCCAGAATTGATCAAGTGCAAAGTTGACATGTTTACTCCTCTTTCTTCTCAAGGAAGACATTGGTGAGAACTGCGTTAGACTCGAATGATGCCTTGAGCAATTTCAGACCCTAAAAAATTAATGAAAAGAAAATGATCATTTTGAACAAAATAACAATTCCTCCAACCAAAACAAAAAAACAAAAGAATATAATAGCAGATGAACTGTGGCAAATTAGCTTTGATTAAAAGCCTACATGATAATGTATGATGGTTGTATCGTCTATTGATCGAGTGCGTAGAGTATAAATCAAAGCATAAAAAGTGTATCTATCCTATCCTTCCCAACTTGAATCAATTAAGAAAAGAATAAAAAGTGGGGTTTGTAATTGATGTGCATATATATTTTGCATATTCAAGATGCACATATATTCAGAGTTCAAAATGTTGAGAGAAGTTTAGGAATGCACACATCATCCATGCCTAGAAGAACCATCCTCTCTTCAAGGGTACCAACCTCCTTAACATTGAACCTGTTCAACATAGCTATACACGATATGGTAGACATAGGCTTCACTTCCAAATTATCCATTATCATGTATGTAACAACATCTTTCACATACCCTTCCTCCACCACCAGACGATCCTTCCATGATAGCCTGTGCTGCAACATAAGGCACCTCGGTAGAGAGAGTATATTTGCACTGTGGGCAAATGGCTCTAGGATCGTCAGCTATAAAGCGGTGGTAGCTCCCACACATGTACACCTTTTTAGCCAATGATTCATCATTGGTCAACAGATGAGGAACATTAGCACCGCCTAGTAACAGTTGCAACATGCAAAGACAGAAAACTTAAAAAGGAAATCAACAACGTTACTTCCTTGCTTGCTTCAGCAAACAGAACTTTGTGGCTTTTTGTGTCAATCAGAAGCTTCAAACTCACGCTAGCGCTGCTGGTGGTAGCCATTGAGGGGATATTAAGGACAGACCTTCACAAAAAAGTATCCTATGTGCATATATATTTTGCATATTCAAGATGCACATATATTCAGAGTTCAAAATGTTGAGAGAAGTTTAGGAATGCACACATCATCCATGCCTAGAAGAACCATCCTCTCTTCAAGGGTACCAACCTCCTTAACATTGAACCTGTTCAACATAGCTATACACGATATGGTAGACATAGGCTTCACTTCCAAATTATCCATTATCATGTATGTAACAACATCTTTCACATACCCTTCCTCCACCACCAGACGATCCTTCCATGATAGCCTGTGCTGCAACATAAGGCACCTCGGTAGAGAGAGTATATTTGCACTGTGGGCAAATGGCTCTAGGATCGTCAGCTATAAAGCGGTGGTAGCTCCCACACATGTACACCTTTTTAGCCAATGATTCATCATTGGTCAACAGATGAGGAACATTAGCACCGCCTAGTAACAGTTGCAACATGCAAAGACAGAAAACTTAAAAAGGAAATCAACAACGTTACTTCCTTGCTTGCTTCAGCAAACAGAACTTTGTGGCTTTTTGTGTCAATCAGAAGCTTCAAACTCACGCTAGCGCTGCTGGTGGTAGCCATTGAGGGGATATTAAGGACAGACCTTCCCAAAAAAAGTATCCTGAATTCAAAATTATTCAAAAATGGCAATGGTGAACGGATCTAGAAGGTGGAGGGTCACCTTGGACTCTGCATCATTAGTCGACCACAAAGCAGCTCTACACATACAAATCTGTCATTACCTATACAGATGCGTGAATAAATATATATTTATTTCCACCAAAAAACTGTAATCTTAAATAGGTTCGAAAAATCGGCATAGGCGCTAGGCGGGAGGACACCGCCGCAATTTCACCCTAATCATTAGGGGTAGGCGCTAGGGAGTCAGGCGGCACCTGGGCGCCCGCCTAGGCGGCCCTAGGCGGCTCTAGGCGGGTCTGGGCCGGCGTTTTGCCGTTGAGGCGTGGACGAAGGGCGGCTGAAGCGCGCAGGATCCGCTGCTTGTTAGGAAAGACGGAGAGAGAGAGAGAGAGAGAGATCGAGACAGAGAGGAAGGAGAGGGCGACGCTGGGAATATCTGACCAAATTTTTAAGATAACTAATGGGTTGGGTTTTGTAAAATGGCCTTAAACATTGTATTAAAATGGGCCTTTTTTTTTTGTGGCGTCAATCAGAAGCTTCAAGCTCACGCTAGCGTGAGTATGGATTAATCTGGTGTGAAAATTAGGAGGAGCTGTAATGCAAGGCATCAAGAAGCTTTTATAACCTTGCAAACTGCCACTTTAGAAACAAAACTACATTTGATGTGTTTAGAAATTGAAGTAAGAATTTGTGTGACATGACAAGGGTTTGAGTTGCAAGGTGTCCGTGTTAGTTAACCATAGGTTTCATGCAAATGTTAACCACCAATATGCAAAGACAGAAGGGTGAAAAGAAAATCAACGACTTATTTGCTTGCTTGTAACTCTTTGTGCAAAGAGGACAGAGAACTGCCCAAATGGACAAAA